GAAGGAAGGCCTAGCATCCACACATGCTCCACACTGGCACCGTGCCCTTCCCCCACATACTCACCTGATTCCACCTATGAACTGCCCTGAGGCTCTCTGCCCCTCTCCCAGAGATGCCCTCATTACCCTTCCCCTGGAGTACTGCCACAGCCTAGCTGGCATCACGTTCCTCCTGCAGCCCAACCTCCACTCCACTGCAGCAAAAGCAGGCTCTATGAAGCCCAGCCCAATACCCAGGTCAAAGACTGTCCCACCTCCACCACATACACACACGTGAGCAAGCAGGCACGAACACATACACATACACACACACACACACACACACACACACACACACACACACGCCACCCACGCCCATAGTGGGTTTAATGTACAGTGTAGTTGCCTTTGGCTGTCCCCAGAGACAGAGTGTTTTGGAGAGTGTGATGGGGCGGCAGTTATCAGCGTCCTTCGCAGCGGAGGGCTGTGAGCAGCCAGGGGCTCAGTTCCCTGAAATACCAAACCCAGGATCCCAGGGGTAACTCTGTGGACTTTTAAATTTTTTCTTATCTTATGTACATTGTGTTTTGCCTACATTTGTCTGTGCACCACCTGTGTTCCGGGTGAGTGTCGTTGGTACTCCAGAACCACAGCTACCAAACAGTTGTGAGCTGTCAGGTAATCGAACCGGGGTCCTTTGGAAGAACAGCCAGTGTTCTTAACTGCTGAAGCCTCTTCTGCTCCAAGGGCTCTGCAAATATTTATTTGGAGAAGAAAATAACACACACACACACACACAAACACACACAGCACTTTCTTCAGATGAAATGAAAACATTTAACACATGCCTTCGGTCTCAGCACCAGAGAAGGCTGAGGCAGGAGGACTGCTGGAAGTTGCCAACTGGGCAACACACTGAAACATCTTAACTTAAAAAAAGAGAAAGAAAAAAAAAAAAAAGTCTGAGAAAGCCTGTCTCGCTCCTGACTGTCAGAAACAAATCTCACCCATTTTTGCATAGGCAAGAATAGTGGTTCTAATGCTACAATCTAATCCTACAACCCAGCTCGCTCTATGCCTTCCTGCAGCAGCCTGTTCCAGCTTTCCAGGGAGTGACTCAGGAAAGCTACTTTATGGGCTCTGGCCTCGGTCACCTACACACACACTGGATAGGATGCATTCTTTGAGTTCCTAAATAAGGCATGTGATCTTTATGCTGTGCCATGTTTGTTCTACCAGTCCTTCGAAGCCTGTGAGGAGCCTCCTTTCCTCTCCCAAAGTGAGGCTTCTTAGAAAAACATCCCTCATATAGCATCCTGCTTCCAATTCCACTCCAAGAGCCAATCAACAGGAAGCCTGCCTGGTACAGCTCACTTTTGCTTTTCTAAAGTCCATATTACATTTTTTTTTTCAAAAGCTTCTCCACGTTCCAAAGAAAAGAATGAGAACTTTAAGAAATTATAACTTTCTAGCAATCCTCCAACATCTTGCAGTTTACTGAGGCATTCTAATTTGTTTTTAAGCATTTCATCTCCCCATTTTAAGAATGGAGAAACCAACGCTCTGAGCTTCCATTGCCCAAGGTGGCACAGTCGGGCTCTAAAGTAACACTGAAATTTTCCACGTTTGTACTGTACCCTAATGAGTCAATGCCAAGCTCTAGATACAGTGAAAGCAACTGTGCCAAATGTTACACTGGCCAACCAGCAAGGCATGGCGGGAGTCCTCACAGGCAAGCCACTAGTCCCAACAGCTTTGCACACAGGGCTGCTTAAAGATCGCATGCACTCAATCAGGCAACAGAGGCGGGGCGGAGCAGAGGCCGCCCAGGCACAAGAGATGCCAGGGATTTAGTCAACAGAGAGCTAATAGCCAACAGTGGGTGCTGCTGCCAAGCACAGCATCCAGTGGGAGCTACAGCCGCGTTCACAGAAGACAGGCGCCTGGCTCCCTCAGACCACACCTGAAGGCTGGGCACGGCTGGACCAACAGAAGGGAGGTGCCCTCCGTGGGAGGGCCAGGTTTCTGAAGAGACGTGGCTCCGGGTGGCACTGTGGGTGTCACCTGGGAGCTGGGCTTGTACATTGTGTTATAGGTGGGGGCTCAAAAGACTTTCTCAGTCTTTTTTTTTTTTTTTTTTTTTTTTTAATCCTGACTGAGAAAGCTCTACCTACACGAAGGACTCAGGACATCCAGGAATGCTGGCAGATTTAACCAATCAGACCACCCACCTCCAAGCCTGTTGGGAAGGAACTCAGTGGAAAATGAGAGGCATCTTCCTTTGATTGTGACAAATGGACCATGGCTTTGCCAAGTGACAGTGGGTTTAAGATGCTATCATTTCAAGCATCAAAAACTTCAGGAAGTCCTCCATACCACACCCCAATGGGCCCTACCTCAACCTTCTGGAGCATCCCACTAAGGAATGTTTCTCCTGTTAGCCTCACTTAGAATACAAAACCATCTTTCCAATGTGTCTTCCAAGAGCTTCCACGCCATATCTTACTGACCTTTGTGTTTACAGCAAGTAGCTTAGCACACTGGAGACACCCCATAAATGATGAGTAACTGCACAGAGGTGCCGCAGCCTGGTCATACGGAGGGTGTTACTGTGTTTGAGGCCATTTCAGAACACAAGTGTCTGTCCTGAGAGAGGCTAATAAAAAGGTTTATGACAACACATTACCACTTTTGTGTGCTAAGCAAAGGAATTCTTAAAGCTAAGGCCACCAGAGGGTTTTAATTACAAAGTAGTCATAGTCTGGCCAGGTCCCTAGGTCTCTGTGGAAGTGATCCAATACAGAAGGAAGCTTAGGGGTATCAGGTCAAAGGTAAATCCTATCTGTGTGACAAACAGCCAGACAAGGCCAGAACCCAGGAAGCAGTAAACATCCGGAGACAGCAGAAAAAGCACAGCTGGGGTCAAATGCCTAGAAGGAGGCACAGAAAGAGGATTCAGTAAAGTGGGTCTAAGGAACAGCACAAACACTACAAATTCACAGGGGAGTCAGCTGCCTGGCGATACACCTCGGAACTGGGAGAATTAATTACAGGAACTAACACTCAGATCTGGGAAGATCAGTGGAGGAGACTAAGCGATGCAGTGCTAATATCTAATAAATCTTTAAATCAATGAGCCATGCTCACTGGTAATCTTTCTTCATCTTTCCTCCTTGAGAGCTCACACGACAAAGCCAGGGCTTGCTTTTTATTTGTCTACAGACATGGCACACGGTCATATGTCTGTATGTATACATAAAACTGGAGGTTCATTCAATCACGTATCAAAAAAAAAAAAAAAACATCAAAAGGATCTGCCATCAGAAGGAAACCCGAGATAGAGGAATTCTTCTGTGCCCCTTTATAAAAAGAGAAAAACCTTTTAAGAAGCCAGTGTTCTCCTCCCCCTATGGCCCCAACAGCTGCAGTTAGTCAGCATCCCAACCTGTTCAGCTGTGTACCTGTTTTGATCTCTTTAGCACACAGGCACTTCACTCCGTTTGCAATTTTTCATCTCAGAAACACCACTTAAGCCTGTCACACAAACCTGACAGCGGCAATACATTTCATAAGCCAATTATCCCTGGGGAACAGACAAGAAAACCACCCGGCAAGGAGCCTGGACAAAGTTCCCAAGGATAGCATTCCTTTGCCAGATGCAAACTGCGCCACATCCTCTCCCAACCCAAGCTGCCCACTCACCTAGTCTCTGCTGCCCGCTCTCAGGCTGCCTCTCCGGGCTGCATCAGAGGTGGCGAGCCTAATTCTTGGGGAGCATGACATGAATGCTTTTTAAAAAAAACAACAGCTCTGGGCTGGGAAATGTTGGCACCTTTTCTATGAAAAGGCCCCGCAAGGATATTTTCATAACAAAATGCTCTCCTATGGAACACAGGAACCACAAAAATGAAACTACCGTAAATTGAAACTGTCTCTAAATTAAACCCACACAAAGAAGCATTAGAGTCCAGGCAAGGAAGGCTGATTTCTCCCATCTGAGACCCCTTACAGGCTGAGTCCTCTCCTTAAGTCCAAAGAATTTCTGCCACCCAGTTATAGATTGTCCGGAGGCCTAAACGCTGCAGACAATCGGTAACTCATCTAAAGCTCCATTACTGCGGTGTCTTCAGTCATGCCCAAAGACTCCCGCAGCGTGGGGTGCAAAGCAGGCACCCGCTAGAGCGTCGGTTTGATCAGATCTGACTGGCCCCTTCGGGTAGAAAGGCTCTTTTGGCAGCTGGACTCTCTGCTGGAGATACTGGCGCTGGCCTAGCTTGCCCCTGGAACTGGGCCCGGGTGCAACCACCTGTGGGTGTGTGGCCGGGACACAGGCCCTGGCGCTGCCACCCCGGGATGCCCTGCATGTCCCGTGCGCACCGCCCGGAGAGGGTCGGTAAGCCAGTTCAGAAGGGGCTGGGACCAACTCCCAGCACCTCAAGGCCTCTGTCCGTTCAAAGTTGACCTGGCCGGCGAGTTGGCTTCCAAGTCGCTCCACCCCCTGCGAGGTTGTGAGCGATGGGGTACTTTGGGATAGGAGTAGGGGCTATCCCTAGGGGAATCGGCAGAAGGCAGAGGCAAAACTGTTCCCTAACCCTCCTCCCAAACTCGGGCACCTGCTGAGCAGCAGGCAAGGGTTTCCTCTCCAGTGCTTCAGGGCCTCACACCAAAAACATTCTACTCAACCCAGTATCGGAAGGCCAACATTGGCAGGGAACGCAGGCCACCTGCGCCAAGGGGAGGGGACATGGGGACGTAGAGACAGTGTGCCACGGGGTAGACGTGAGGCCCCAAAACCTAGGTGGGCGCCAAAGAAGCCCCAACCCTACGCTGTAGAGTGCCAAAGCCCGGAACATAGCTGGGCTGGTGGTCCCGGGAGGGTTCAGGGCTAGGAAAAACTGGAAGATGGGGGAGGGGTCCCCAAAGGGCGGCCCGGCAAGGCTCCCAGAGGGAAACACTGGGGCAGGGGGCTCTGCCCCAAGGGTTGCAGGCTGCCAGTGCCCCGCACGCGCCGCGTCACTCACCGGCAGGTCCACGCTCACTTCGGTTCCGTCGAGCAGGAAGACTCGGCAGTAGAGGGTAGCCCTGGCAGCTCCACAGGCGGAGATGTGCACAGCCGCGCCGCCCGTGAGCAGGGGCCCGCCGCCGGCCGGGAACACGCTGCCCCCGGGCGCGGCGGGCAGCACCGAGGAGCTGGCGGCGGCGGCCGGGCCCCCTCGCGGACCCCCGTCCCGCTCGTCCCCCAGCCCGGCGGCTCCGCGCCCCGCGGCGCCCCGCGCGTAGCGCTGCATGGAGCGGCGGCCAAAGGTCCGGCGCAGGAACCGC